CACCTCTGACTGATAGCCTTGCAGCCACAGGGCTGTCAGTCAGAGAAAATCCTGACTTTGATTTTCTTATAGAAGTCAGGAGAAAAAGATTTCTCTTCCAGGGTCAAGTCATCCACGCCTCCGAAAATTAACCATCTCACTCTTAACTAAATATAAAATTTGAGGTCTGATTAAACATGATAATAACATTTAAATAAAAAAATACAAATTTTAATATCATAATACAGTACTTATTATTTATGAACCTGCTGATATAGCCAACAAACCGCATAGTTAGTCCAATGAAAAGCTCCTTTGAGGTGAAAACAGCGGTGGCTTTCAGAAGACATAAGTCTCCTTTCCTTGTAATGTCCTACTTGAGCTGCGATTGGACTCCTCTTTCGAACCAATTGTCCACTCATCCAACATTTTAAAACATTCATAACTCACTGACTGGTTAAAACATAAAGATTTGCCATTATACTAACAAAGTATTTCAAGATAATAATTTAATATGTTGGTTCTTTGCTTTTCTACATAACAAATCACTAATTGTTTAAAATTACTTAATTCAGAATTGTTTGGGTTATCCATAAGTACTGAACTTCGCTGAATCGAGCCACAAAACTACTGTAAATAGCAGTTTCAGCTGGCGCTCTTATAAGTGACGTAGTAGCACAGGCACACCCAGTAGGGTTAAACAAGCGCACCCTTTCCCAGGCTGTCGTTCTATTGGCTGGAAAGGTTGCTAGGCGACGATCCACCTGCAATCCGCGAGAGAGCAGAAAAAATCCGCAAGCAGAGCCTCTTGGTTTGTGAGCGCATTTCAGACTCGAGCATAGCGCGGTTTGTGCGCAAAGAGGAGAAGGCAAGCGAGAGGAGAAAATATCTGTGCAAGAAGCATTAAATCTGAGAGAAAAAACAAAGATTTGAGAGAGAAGAGAAAATATTTGAGAGAGAGTGCATGTTTTGAGTGTGAGAATTATAAGTTTTGAGTGCAAGAAGATGAAATTCTTTTCTCAAATTGAAATTATGTGCTCTTGCATTATGGCAGGATAATTCTCCCATAAAAAACCTCCATCTTTCTTGTTTTTCAGGTACTATGAGGTGGCTGGTGGGTCAGACCTCCTTCCCAGCGCTTTTCTGACACTGCTTGATGTCCCTATTTACCTGAACTCCAGGGTTCAGCGTATCAAACATTCACATGAAGGCGTCACCGTCTTCTACCAGACAGATCAAGAGTCCTCTCTAAGCCACATTAATGCTGACTTTGTCTTGGTGACCACAACAACGAAAGCAGCTCTTTACATGGACTTCGACCCACCGCTCTCCATCCAAAAGATGGAAGCCCTGACCTCCGTTCACTATGACAGCTCCACTAAAATCCTTCTGACCTTCAGCGAAAGGTTCTGGGAGGCAGATGGAATCAGAGGAGGCAAGAGCATTACAGATCGACTATCACGCTTCATCTATTACCCGAGCCACAGTTTCCCAGGAAATGACTCCATCGGCGTCCTCCTGGCCTCCTACACCTGGTCTGATGACTCCCTCCTCTTTCTCGGCGCAAGCGATGAAGAGCTGAAAGAACTGGTTCTCAGAGACCTGGTCCTGTTGCACGGTGAGCGCGTCAGGTCTCTCTGCACTGGTGTTCTGGTTAAGAAGTGGAGCCAGGATCCATACAGTCATGGGGCCTTTGCTCTTTTCACCCCCTATCAGCACTTGGAGTACGCTACTGAGCTCTTTAGGAATGAGGGCAGGATTCATTTTGCTGGAGAACACACAGCGTTCTCTCATGCTTGGATTGAGACTGCAATGAAGTCTGCAATCAGGGCGGCTTCCAATATTAATGATGAAACAATACTGTTTTCAGATAAATGCAGAGGAAGGGATGAGCTTTAAATGTGTTAAATACTGTCATCTTAGTGAAAATCAATTATAATTTGGGGTACAGATAATTCCAAATCATATTTAGAGAAAAATATTGCGAAATGGGTATTTTTCTGCTTTATGATGCATTTTTTACTAATAACTTTTTCACAATAATGACATTATTTCGTTGTTTGCTTGATAAAGTTTTTAACCTAAAAATAAATTTAAATGTAATAAAAAGGTTGCCCGTTTTTTTTTTCTTTTTGTCAATAAAATTCATATTGCGAACTTATCTACTTTGAGTGTTTTCATTTTTCCCACAGATTTTTTATGAAGTAGTTAGTTTATATTTACGCATCTATCTCTAGAGTCAACTGTATACTCTCTTATAATAGTGCAGCACACATTTATATCAGTCTGACCCTCCACTATAATTAAAACAGTAAAAACTTTAAAAAAGAAAATCACATTTAAGTTTCCCAAAACCATAATAGAAATCTGACTTTTAAATGGATTTACTTGTCTCATGCCATGAAAGTCAATTTTTTTTTAATAAAATAAGTTACTTTTCTGTCACAATAGCATATATTTAACTCTTTCAATCTTTCTGAACATAACTTTTGTTGTGAAGTACTCTAAACAACCATATTTGTCTAGAGTGACATATGTATCCAGAGGAATAATAAAAAATGTTTGACAACTACATTAATACAGCCATTTAATGGAAAGAATCTACAAAATGGAATGATTAAATTGATAGATATATAAGAACTGCTGAAAGATCAGAAAAGCAGCAAACTGCAAAAACGATCTAGAAATAAGTAAAAATGTATTAAGATAACTTTATTTACCCTTTATTTTACTCTTAATATAAGATAAATAGATAATATGCACTTGAAATAAGACAATGCATTTTTTTTTCTTATTTTAAATGTAATTTGTCTTGTTCGATTGGCAAAGTCTCTCACTTACCTCCTCAATTCAAGAAAAAAATCAGTTATTTTAAGAGAAAGTAACGTATTTAGATGTACTTTTCTGCAAAACAGTCAGTGGTCTTGTTTTCTTGTATTTTTTGACTTTAGGGGTAAATCATCAAAATTGTATTGTTGAGACCAAGATAGTTTAGACATGCCTCTGAGAAAACGATGGGTGCTGAGGGCTAGTAGCAAAACAAACAGGAGTGCTTTGAAAGAAAATTGGTTTTAACTCAGTTTTATTATAAATGCTTTATGGTGTTGAGAGCATCTAGGTACTTACGTTTTCAAAGCCGTAGAGTAATGACCAAACAGGGTTGCTGTCATTTTTAAGAGGCACTGAGATTTATTTTTGGTATTGGTAACACAAGCATAAAGAGGCCATAGTGCCGGTACTATGGCCCCTCAAGGACTACGAGGCCCCCTTGGGTTCGGGCTCCAGCTGCTTTTGTCTGCCTTTCTCTGGTGGGTGTGGCTTTCCCTATATCTAACCTCCTTTTATCCCAGTGATCTGGGGTGCCTGTGGATATCTCGGGCTCATATCGCCTCTTTTTCTATCCAGGGCCCTGTAGGGCAAGTCTAGGGCCACCCACACCTTCCATTAAGCATAGTTCCCTTCTGAAGTAGCTTTGTAAATCCTTTATACATGAGCATGCCCATACATACATACCACACGAGTTTGGTTCCAGGTGTTCACAGATACACAGTAATACTGTATACTGAGCTGCAGCTACAGATATATACCATCCTGAATAATATTGTGTAATCAACATAGGTTTTGACCCCAACAAACACGGCTCTTGAAGCTTTTTTTATGTTTACTTGTTTGTTGTCTTGTTTTTGCTGTTATGTTCTTTTTTCTGTCCCTCATGTCTTATACAAGTATGGAAGCAGGCTTCTTGGGGTTACTGCATATCTTCTGTCTTGTCTTTTTTGCGAGTTTGTTTTGTTTTCTGTCTTTTGATGGAGTATTTCCTGTCTGTGTGTCAGTTTTATATGATTTTAATCCTAAAATAGTTTTACAATGAAGTTTAATATAGAAGTATCAACCTTATTGCAACAGTCATAATCATCTGATTTGTAAAAGCAAAGCTGTTGGGCTATCAGTTAGCTGTGGGACATCTATTTCCAGAGCTATAGTGGCAAACATGACACAAACTAAACAAAACAAAAAGAAAAGAAAAAAGGGGCATAAACTAAGCCCAGTGGTGTTCCACATTAGTGACATGAAGTAAAAAATAAGGCCAAATACGCTCGCAGGAAAGGTTTGGTCTCTTGATCAGGATTTTAACCATTCCAGTATCTCTCATCCCAATTCACTGCTCAAAAAGAGTTATACTTCACAACAAACTGTTTTTCGTTTTGAATGCAGCAAATAAATGTAAATTAAAAGTTGTGCATGGTTACTAGTTATAAAATGTTTTATTAAAAAAGGTAGCCCTTTTATTGTAAAGATTTTTAGTTTTATACATTTTATGTGAACATCTTCACCTGACTGGAGATATACTTTAAAGAAAATGCAGTGATTTTTCCACAAATTAGCATCATGTATTCTGATTAAAATTATGCCTTTATTGTGTTTTAGCTTTGATTTTACTTACTGATAGAGGAAATGATGCTTTTGATATTAAAAAAGAGAAATCACGAAGCTTTGAGGTTTACTGAAGAGAAATCATCAACTAACCGCACTGGTTTAACGGAAAGTGAAACTAGTTTTTACCACTTCTCCTTTCTCCATCCAGCAGACTTTTTTTTTCTGTCTTCCAGAGGTCACTCAAGGCATGTGACAGGGTGAGGGAAGTATTGTTACCACATGAAAGAAGATTGATAATTAATATTTGGTAGCATTTCCTTGTTTGCGCTGAACTGATCATGAGAGTGATGTGTTTGGTTAATTGACAAATGTCTGAAAAATCCCCAAGTTTTACCTTACCACATAGGCAGGGATGAAAATGGGAAATATTTGTCTTAGTTCTTTCATTTTTCTAAGACAAATCAGATGTAATTTATCGTCATGGTGCTAAGAAATAAATAAGGTTAAGAGTGACTGGATGAGGCTGGCGTGCAAACAATGCAAAACAGAAAACGATTAACTAATCACGGTTACATTTAACCAGTTGATTGCATGATTATAAATGAAACCAAAAGTTAAACTATCTTTTTTGTTTCACTGTTCAGACTTTAAAGTGAAACACGCCCCTTTTGGCAAGGTCTGTGGGGTACAAAAGACGCTGTGATCTCACCATCAGGGGACAGCGGTAGCATCTGGTATTAAAGCTCCTCTTAAGGTAGGTTTCCTTGATTTATCCTCTAAAAGAAATAAAAAATCCTACAAATAATGTTTTTTGTTTTTTTTTGTTGGGTTACTGGGATAAACTTGACTGATAAAAAATGTCAATTTGGATGAACTTGGAGGAGTTGAAATGAATTGAAGCAATTTAAAAATCCTCCTTGTAGATTTATTGAAAATTTAATGTTGCATATTTTAAAAGGCTTATACATTTGGGTTGATACCATTTTACTTACAAAGGATTTGTTCATTGCTTCACTCATTACATCACTGTCTTCTTAATTACAGGAAGGGCAAATAAATTTAAATGGGGGTTCAGGCGCTGATATGGACCTTATGTAAGTATTTAATACTCTCAGTAACACCTGTTGATATAAATATATGGCCAGTCTCAAAGTTGGCTGTTTCTCATTGCAGAACTTGTTTGTTTTCTCAGTACACACACCCTCTTCTACACATATTTTAATAATCATTCTGTAATTTATATAATAGTCCCTCTCTTTGATGCTTTGGCAAAACGTTTCTAACGTTACAGATCCATCCGGTTCTACTCCGGTTTACCAACAATAATGAAAATGTTGTTCTGTGAGTTTATGATTTAACGTTAACAAAGAAATGTGACAGATTGTTCTACACCATGAATCCTTTTTTATTTTATTTATCTTATGCACCAACATGCCAATCAACTTTCATTCACTGACTGTATGTTTTCTAAATTAAAAACATCCAGCTGTGCTTTTCAGGCATGTTTTAGTCATTGGTGGATATTTCATTACACCAGGAGGACGTTAGCAGAATCCTCAGAGGATTGTCATGTTAAATGTTACAATAATTTGGTCTTTCTTTCTTTCTTTCTTTCTTTCTTTCTTTCTTTCTTTCTTTCTTTCTTTCTTTACTTACTTATTAATAAAGTTATATTACATCCCAAATCATTCTTAAAATGTGAAAAAGGAATTTTCACATTCGTTTTCGCAAGGAAGTACGCACAAATTACGCAGAAATTGTGTATACAGTACACCTTCAATAATTTAGAAAAATTGACATCAAATCAAACATAATTTTATAATTAATCAACCTTCTTCTTATATTTTCCCATTTTATCAAATAATGATATTTGATGATGAGCTCCAAGTCTTTGAGGTCAGAGGGCCTCATTGTCCTCTTTTTTTTTTTGGCTCCCTCAAAAGATTACCTAAATTATTTGATATTCTCAGCTTTAGGGTGGAGTTTACTTCAACTGTTCTTTTTACTAAAGGTTATTGTTGTTTTTTTGTTGTTGTTGTCTCAGAATATTTCTCTACAACTGTTCAACTGTACAAACTGTTTTTTTTTTTTTTTTCAAAGAAAAATTCAAAATTATTTTTAAAAAGTTTTGTATGGCCGTTCTGTTAGAGGTTAAATGTGGATTTGGTATTAAGAGCAGTACAGTCCTTTTGATTTCTTTACACCACCGCTATTTGCTGAACTTTGGAGTACAGCTGTTTAAATGACTCATCTTGCTTTAATATCATGATAAGAAATAAAACATGAAACAGAGCATTGTTTCTCCACAAATATTTTTTTTATCTGTCTCTACAGTTTCGGTCTGCTTGCTGCTGTTTACCGTGCACAAAAGCACTGTTGCATTCAGCGTGAAGGAACAGCTGGCCGACTGCCTGAATGATACCGACTACGCTGATCTGATGAATATTCTGAACAATGGTCTTCCCAAAATCAACAAGGAGCATCACGTTGCAATAGTGGGAGCTGGTATAGCCGGGCTCACTGCTGCAAAGTTACTGCAAGATGCAGGACACAAGGTTAGAAATGTTAACAATTTTCACACTTTAGTTTATTTCAGCTCTTTTGTTGGATACGTGCTGCAGGTAAACGCACTCTTCAAACATCTATAAGAATACACTTCACTTCTCCTCTTCTTCCTTGAAGGCATTTCACCTCTCATCCCAAATGTCCCTTCTACCCTAAACATGGTTGCAAATAAAAGGCTTCTTAGGTGTGATCTGTACAAAAGGATCAGTGACTCACATTCCGTAAAAAGCAGGAAAAGCAGAAGTCTAATTACCTTCAACCTAAACTCCCAGGATTGTCATTTCCTGGATGACTCTACACAAGAATTTCATTTATATTTAGCTTAATTTAGCAAGTGTTGCAAGAAATTCCATTTTCTAAGGGAAGAAGATGTAATTTCAACACTGAGTTTTGAAAGTGCATCTGCAAGCTCTTTAACATTTATTGCTTAAACTTAATTACAAAGAAGTAAATTAAAATGCTCATTTCATGCTGATGCTAGAAGAACAAACTGTTCCCGGAATACAGATGCATGTGTAGAATAAGGAATAAAAGTAATAGCACACATTTGAACTCTCAGGTAGGCACATTTTTTATTGAAGCTTCGACTAAACGTTGACTATAACGTTTGTCTTAACATGTACATGAAAACCTGTTTTTCCTGTGATTTAGACCAGGGACAGTAACTTCATTCCTCAAGGGTTGATATTCTTCATCTTTGACCCATCACTTCTGAATCAAATGGCTCAATTATGTCTAGACTATGAAGTTTATCCAGAATCCTATTAGTTATTATCTCCAGAAAGGAGGTTTTCAGTTGTTTTTTTTTGTTAGCAGGATTATTTGAAAAGTTAAGAACTGATTTTATTTACGTTTTTACCAGAGGTGTCTCTCATGCTAATGGTGAATCCATTGATATAGGTGATGATCGCAATTATAATCTGGATACAGGAATTTTTCAAAAGATTCTTCAATCTTGTACCATAGTGATATTTGGGGGAGCAGTTCCCTCCTAAACCAGAAGGTGGCAGCAATGACTGTCGAAAGCCTCAGGATCGGACTAAAAAATTCCTGAAATATTATACTGAAGCCAAAAATACAAGAAAAGGGAGCCATGTCTCTAATCTTGAGCTGCCAATCAAAGAAAAATTCAATGCAGAGTGAATGAAGAAGGTGAGAGCAGAGCAGGCACCAGAGGCTGCAGACACATGCCGTGCCTTATTCTTGGAAATCCTTACCAGAGGTGGAATAAGTTATAAAATTTTGGTGATGATACAGATTATGTGACTTTTAGCAATAAGTTGTAATCAGAATATGGGGCAAAAATACGCTTCTTGAAGGAGGTCCATGGGCTCCGAGTGCTTTTCGGGACTCATTACTTGTTTTAGGTGAGCTAGAGCGAGGACACATTGAAAAGTTGCAAGCGCTGGAGTTGTCCGCTCTGGTTTCAGATATTTGTTATATAGTGATACTGTGAAAATAAACTGGATCAAACTAAATTGATATTTATCTTGGGTAGGAACAATTTGAGATCCGATTCCTTGTCTATTTTTAACCTACTTATACATGACTTAGGTCTTATTGAATACCAGTTTCTCCAAGACTATAAAAAGCTCACCACAGACAAAAATGAACAGGTTCTAATTTTTTAAGCTTTCTGCTGGAAATCAGAAGTCAGTCAGTTCTGCATTTGAAGTTGTTAAAAACTTCTTAAAAACAAAAGTTTGGTTGCCAAGCAAGTCAGGGAGAGGAATTTCGGTACAGGTTTTCTTTCTTTTGGTGTAAGAAGAAAAGGGTTGAGCGTTTGGAGGAAGGAGCATCACTGTGTGATCAATGAAATCACAGAAACGAGGTGTTGAGGTGGAAGGAGATTTTCAGCCACTTAAGAGTAAAGTCTGGTCAGGTTAGTCGAGGGAAAATCTATATTAAGATGCACCAAAGTGACTTTTAATGGCCTACGTCATGCTCTTTTACACCTATCAAAGTCAGTTAAAGGCATATGTATGATAAAATATTAACTTTGGCCTTACAGAGTAATACTTTCTTATGAAATATTACTTGTGCAGCTCAGAAGAACAATCCTGTCTTCTGATGTGAATATCGGCACTTTTAAGACATCACACTTTAGTCCCTGCACATGGTGTAATGAGACTTCTGACCACTAGAGGATTAATTAGGAACACTGAACAAAATCCTGGACATATCACAGCCAAGATACACTTGGACATTAACAAAAGTAGGTGCAGATTAAGTGCTGAAAGACCCAGTAGTCTCATGTTTCACCAGAAATGATGTTGCTCCACCTCATATCACCGCTCACAGATAGAGAAAAAATGGGTTGGGGCTGCTGATTATTTACAATTACTAATACATATATGAATCAAGGGATATACCACATTATGTGGGATTTTGATAAAGGAATAGCAATGTAACACAGCTAAAGGATTCAGAAAGGTGATTTTCCATGATATAAGCCCTTTGTCAAAGTATTTGTTGATGTCTGCAGACATCTTTGAAAGCATATGGATGATAAGGAAAAATGGATGCAACTAGAGGCAGGAGAAACTGAGTGCAAAGAAAAGATATTAAACTTCAGTCTCCCTCTAGGGGAGAAAAGAATAACTACAAGCGAAAGCTTGCAGTTAAAACCTCATTATTTATTCATATTTAATAAAGTTTTTGATAAACTAAGTGATTTTAACTTCTAAACTGTATATATGATACAGATTTGTTTCACAATGACTCTATAGGATTCAAGCCTCGAAGAAAACAGAGATTTTTCCTTTGCAATATAGCTACTGACCAGAAGAGTGTATCCATAAACAATAAACATGACAGAAGATAACAAAGTGTAACAAAGTTCCATATTTTATACCAGAAATATAATCTGCATTTACTGTCTAAATAGAAGGGAAAGGTAAACAAAGAGAGAATTAAAAAATATATTACAACTGTTATGTTTTTGAATGTAATATACAATATCTTTTAAAAAAAAACACCCTAAACCCAACATTCAGAAAGAACGGAAAATAAAAACTAAAATAACTGAATGCATCAAAATGAATTCAATATCAATCCAAAGGAAAAGTATTCATCCTGCGAAACAATAAAGAAGGACAGATTGAACCATTTTACACACAGAGATATATGGGTAATTAAACACAAGTTTTTTTTTCCTCATTATTTCATTCTGTAAATTTTTTTTCTTTACTAAAGTCTCTGACTATGCAGCAATCCCTGCTTTTCTTAGATGAACATGTGTCAGCAGTAGAATAGTCGTTAACTTAGCAGCCACATGTATTTTTTTAATCATTTTGCTGATTTACTTGGTTTTAAAACAAATGGAGTAAACATATTCAGTAAATAAAAATGTATATTGAATAGTTAATTTATTTGAGTATGTCCATAATTTATATAGATTATTTACACATTGTTGTCAGATAATTTTCTATTTACAGTTAAATAAATAAAAAATCTTTTTAGATCTAAATATTTTCAAACCATGAAAACATTACAACTCAGTAACACACAACACAATAATGTAAAAGTGCAGATTTACAGTTAATAAGTAGGGGTAATAACAACTTAAATATTTATTTTTCCAAAGGTACTGTTTCACTCTAATGAGCTTCATCGGCATGTTTATTTTATTCATAGAATATATTAAATAAACTTGGCCTTTAATAAGGCAAATAATTGCAAAACATCAATTTATTGTCTTTGTGAATAGATTAAATGAATTATCTACTTTTATTGTCTAACCTGTAATAAACATTTATTTAATAATAAATAATAGGGTGCCTTAGCTTTAAGGTAAGCTGTTATTGTTTTATTCATGTGTTTGGGGAAGGTCACCATACTGGAGGCCAGTGATCGGATTGGAGGCCGCGTTCAGACCTACAGGAATGAGAAAGAAGGCTGGTACGCTGATCTGGGAGCAATGAGGATCCCAAATTATCACCAGTAAGTGTAACTGTCATTGTGTGCATTGTTTTTACAAAAAAAAAAAAAGATGAGTAAAAAAAAGTTGTTTTTTTAAGCTTTTTTATTTAAAGTTTACCATTCTTTAACATACCTGTGTGAATTCATAGTCATTCAGGTCATGGCAGCCACTAAACAGGCTTAAAGACTCCCGGATAAGTGTCAGAGGGCAGTTGTCTGGTTGAACTGTAAAGTGCCTTGAGATGACATGTGTTGTGAATTTGGCGCTATATAAATAAACTGAATTGAATTGAATTGTCTACCAGTTGAAGCCTGTTTTTTGATTCTTCAATATGTTTTTTTCACAGCATCACCCGCTGGTTCATCAATGCATTCGGTTTAAAGCTGAACAAATTTCGCATGTTGGACATAAACACCTTCTACTACGTTCATGGCCTGGTAAAGAAAACCTACGCTGTGATGAATAACCCAGATATCCTGAAGTACAAACTCCCAGAAAGAGAAAAGCACAAATCGCCAACTGAATTGCTGGAAAAGGCTCTGAAAAAGGTATGTAGGGATAAGAAGGGAATATTTATGACTGTGACATTTATTCTGGCATTCCTTTACGAAATGGTAAATTTGTACACTCATGTGTTTATGTAGGTGAAGGAGGAGGTTCTGGCTCATGGCTGCAGAGCTATGCTGAAGAAATACGACCATTACTCAGTAAAGGTAAAGCTGATGATGATGATGCTTCCATCACAATCAGAGACTGTGATTAGGAACTTGTTACTGACCAATTTCATGCCTTTTGGCTACATTACATCCAGATACATTTAGTAGAAAACACCATACTAAACTGAAAAAGGAAGGAGATGTTCCAGGAAAAAAAGACTTAGAGATATTTAAAATTAGAATTACACCAACTTTATTTTCATTTTGTATGCACAGAGTGTATACAAAACGACATTTCAATGCATACAGCTTTTAAACAGAATGAGCAGCAGCATTTAAAAAGTGCAGAAATGAGCAGAATTTTAACAGTGTAAGGTAAAGATGAAGGAAGGAATGTTATTGTTAAGATATTCAGGTATTTTACTCCTTTGATATAGATTTTGTCATAGAAAAAAAAAATTAAATAATTATTAAGATCAGTCAAATCTGGGCTTGTCCTGTTTCACTAAAGTTGATGTGCATGATGTCTGGGGGCTATTGAGCCTTAACTTACTCTCCCGTTGCAAATATACTTGCAAATTTTATAACTCAGTGAAAAGTTGAAATTAACAGATATGAGGATAACAGTCTAAAATTTGAATACCTGTGAAATGAGCTTATTTATTGATTTACAGTACTGTAAATGAAAGTTCAGTTCGATACACAGTTCAGACTTTTAAAATTGAAGCCTACGCTATTTTCTAAATATTATTACATCTATTTTATCTTTATTCCACAACATTGTTTTATTTAAGCCTTGACCAAAACCATTTTATGCACAAGGCAAAAAGCTTTTTGGTTATAAAAATCTATATATTTTAAGTCACTAAATAGTATTTTATTCACTTGGTAAACCCTAAAACTAACCCCAAGATGGGAAAAGTTTGTGTTCTTTACAAGTTAACCTGCACTCCTTAGACGTAAAACATCATCAAACCTTCAGATCCTTCATGCAATACCTCTGATAACCATTAGATGTCCTCAAATCTGTTCCAAATAAGATCATTAGAATAATTATTTTGCCCTCCTGTCTTTTCATTTCATACTTCCTATGTTCCTGTTTTTATATTGTTTACCCTCCTGTTTTAGGTTCTTTCTACCACACTCTATTTATTCCTATTGGAACATCATTGCTTATTTATATTTACATCAGACATTCTGAGTATCGTGCTTCCTATTGCGTAAAATGACTGTGTCTGGGCTTACTTTACAAGTAACCTCCTCATTTCTTATTTACATGTATTAAATTATTTGTCCACATAAGCATTTTCTCCATTGGAAATAGGTTAATGTGAACCTAGCTTAAGGACTACCTGGACATCACTGTAAAGTGTTATATTACTTCACGGGTTGCCTGTATCACTAAGACATAAGAAATGGCCAATACATAAATAAATTTGGTATGTGGATAAGGAAGAATTTTTGATCACTGTATCTCAATTTGAACTTGCTCTTAAGAGCAAGAAATATGATCTACTGGGGTTGTTCTCTTTGTGAAAACTGGAACGGTGAAGCAAAGAGGATCAGAAACATTAAGATGGAGAACTGGACAAAGAAAAATTTTAAAAATATGCAAAAAGTGAAACCTTAACAAGTAGGAAACTAATTTAACTAAATAAAACAGAGCAATCACTACTGTTTGATTTTGACAGGAATATCTGAGAACTGAAGGTGGTCTGAGTGCAGAGGCTGTGAGGATGATTGGAGATTTGCTCAATGAGCAGAGCCTCATGCATCTGGCTTTGACTGAGATGATCTACATTGAGAACGACGTCAGCGACAGCACAATGTAAGATTGGAAAGTTGTTTCTCCTCCATTGTATTTAGGTTTTAAAATATTCAACATGAGGAGAGCAGCCTCTGTAAGGCTTCATGTCTACAGCCACCCTGATTAGGATTAGATAGGTAAAGAACTGGCATGTTTTGGTGGCTGGTGCTGATTTATCCATGTGAAAATTATACAATGAGTTAAAAGAATTGCAAAAAAAAAGGCTTTACAGAAACAATATCCACACAACTTATTCATTGACTTTCTTTAGTTTGGTTTTGGTCGCTTTTCTTGTTTTATTGTCTTTGTTTCTTAGTTTGATTTTATTTCACGTCTTTGTGTCCGGCTTGAATGTGTGTTTAAGCTTCAAAATTGGGCTGTTTGCTACTCGCCAAGCACATTTTTAACACCTGCATTAAAAGTAAGATACATTTTTATTTTAAGAAGTTGAGTTTATTTTGATAGCATTTCTCCACTGTTTTCCAAATCCTTTACAGCTGCATAAATGAGGTTTATGCATTCTTTCTGGTTTTTTAAATACATATTTATGTCCATATTTTGCATAACAGTCCATGTGCTGAGTGAAGGTGTAAAAATTGAGAAATGTGACTCTATACAATGGAGGGCATACAATGTATGAAAAGATGTTTCAAAAGTGACAAAACAGACAGGTGGGAAAAGGTTTCACTCCAAAAATTGTTTAACTGATTTTACTTAATTTTGCTCATTATTTGTTTTCTCTAGTAGATTGTTTAGTTAATGTTTTTCACTCTTCTTTGTTTTCTTATTGTTTTCTATTTGCTTTTTTTTTTTTTCTGAAACTGTTATTTTTTTATATCAAGGTTAAACAGTCAGATACAACAAACTCATTTTGATCCTTTTTGTGCAAAGGTACGATGAAATAGTTGGAGGGACGGATCGTCTCGCTGATGCTTTCCTGTCTGTCCTGGATGTTCCCATCTTACTAAACTCCCGGGTGAAACGGATCCAGCGCTCACATAAAGGTGTAACGGTCTGGTATGAGGGAGAAAACGAGCCCTCTTTGGAGAGACTGGAGGCGGATGTTGTTCTGGTAACCACTACGGCCAAAGCAGCTCTGTTTATAGAGTTTGATCCTCCTCTTTCTGCCAGAAAAATGGAGGCCATGCGGGGGGTTCATTATGAAAGCTCCACAAAAATCATCCTCACCTTCAAACAGAAGTTCTGGGAGAAACATGGCATCAAGGGGGGGAAAAGCATCACAGATGGACCCTCTCGTTACATCTACTACCCAAGCCACAGTTTTCCAGGAAACAGCAGCATTGGCGTCCTGCTGGCGTCCTACTCCTGGTCTGATGACTCACGTCTCTTCGCAGGTGCTAGTGATGAAGAGCTGAAAGAGCTGATCCTCAGGGACCTGGTGCACATCCACGGTGAAGAGGTCCGGTCTCTATGCACCGGTGTGATAGTGAAGAAGTGGGGTCTAGATCCATACAGTCTGGGAGCATTTGCTCTGTTCTCTCCTTACCAACACATCGAGTATTCTGCAGAGCTCTTCAGGAATGAAGGCAGAATTCATTTTGCAGGAGAACACACAGCTTTCCCTCACGCTTGGATCGAAACGTCCATAAAATCTGCAATCAGGGCAGCTAACAATATCAGCATGGCTGCACACAAAGTTTCAGGCAAAGGTCAACACCGGGATGAGCTGTAAGATATGGAGGACACTATGCAGATTTACTTGTCAGCTGTAGGAAAATGTCAAATCAAACCAACCTAGATTTATTTACAGCAAAAGTGCGGTCATATTCAGAACTTCTGGAAGTACTTTAAACATGAAATTATTCCATGATGTTCAATAAATGATAAGTGTTTTAATTAAGAGTAGTTTATTTGAATGTGCTTTACTGGAGGCATCCATGTTTGTCAATAAACACTACTGCCACCTACTGGTTTGTGACGTCATGGTGCGTTATCAGCTGTTGATCAAGTCCCAATGGTGTATCTGATGTTTGTCACAACGCGCTATTATCCAATTCATCTTGAAAAAAAATTCTTCTTTGAAATTGTTAGCTCTACATTGCATGTTTTTTCTCTGGCCAGAAGTTCGATGGCAAATCCCCCCTCTTCAAGTTGACAAAATGAAAATAAACCAGACTGAGTAATGAATACTGATATTTCCTGTGCTTGTGGGATTAAAGACACCTGGCAGCACCCTTTAAGAAGGTCTACTTTACTCAAAAACTTTAGCTTCCCACCTGTTTGACACAGTCCTCGATTCACAGCAGCTTAAATGAGTCAGACTTTGTGACCACATTAACTTTGTGAAAGTCTGTGCACATACCGGGGGGACTTTTCTGACTTCCTAAGATCAGGCAGGAAGATGATCGGCTGGTAGCAGAGGAATCATAGTTGCACATGTATTCAACCCTTTTATCAATTATCTTCTGCTTTTCTTTTAAGACACTGAAAATCTCTTCTGAATTTGTTTCGAATCACCTAGATCTGTATCGTGCTGTATGTTGTCTGTGTTGGTATATCCCCGAAAAAATCAATAGCCTCCTTTTAACTCTGCAATTTCTACAGCTCTTTCTTGTGGCAAATGGTCACGGATAGAGTTGATTTTTTCCAAAATTCTAGAATTTTCTAAGTGTGAAACTTAGACTGAGATACTTCACAAGTAGTCAAAGGATTGCCCTGACCGACTTGCCCAGCAAAGAATCCCTGACAAAATAGGGTTTCAGAAGGTTGATTGCCGCCCCTTCTTCCTGTACAGAGTCAATATTAGGTAATTAAGGTTTGACAGCTGTTTCAACACAGCAGCATGAAATTAGACTTGAAAATGTTACCCCACAACAGGCAATAAAGCCAAAACCGGGTCTCCCTCACTGAACTTCTGCTCCTACGAATGTCTGTCATACAAACCTTTCACCTTTGCTTAAGCATTAGCCAGGTTTTTTTTTTCCGCAATTTGTCCTGCATTGTAAAGACAATGAAGAAAACCATAAACATAGCCCAGCAAATCAACAGGAGGTTTGAGGCCCATGTATCATGAAAAACTGATTATGATGAATAGAAACCACAAATCATGACAGACATTTGTTGTCTTTAGTGTTTCAGTAAACTTTTACTTTATGTTTATATTCACAAAAACTCAGAACACATAAAGCAGTATATCTTATGAACTGTACAGTATTTTGTCTTTTCCCACACAAAAAAATTAACAATTTTAAATTTGATAATTTAATTGTACATGTGGTTGAAGTATAAAATCGAAGCTATGGTTTCTTCTTTTATGCATTCCATTATTGACCTCAACTGCTCAAAAACAAAAGCTCTCACGTGTGTTAACACTCTGAATGCTGAATGTAAAAGTGTCCCACGTTTTTATCAATGTCATGAGTTGTGTGCAAAGTTGGGAAAATCACTTTTATCGTTTTGAACCAAAGTGTGTAAATTGTGAAAATATGACATCTTGCTCATTAAATTGTCCTTCATGCAAAGAAAAAGTGTGAAGTGTGTTGAGATAAGTGCGTTTAAGAACTATATCTAAAGAGAAAAACAAGATTTGTGTTTGTAGTTAAGCAGAAATACAAACATTTTCACCTTACTTTGAAAATGTTGGCCTAAAATAAAGAAAACAAGTTATCCAGTTATCTAAGAACTAAGCCTGTTTATTGTTTATATTCTGTGCAGTATGTTCTACTTTCCCCTAAAAAACTCAAAGTGGTCATTAAGCTACACATATCAATAGCAATGAGAATTCATGCATCGGTAACAGCAAATAACCAAGTATGTTAAAACCTTCCATGTGCCCCATTGTTGGCCTCCATAGCACTAAAATGAGGCGTTACCTTTGGTCCCTTTCATCTTAAACGTATTGTTAATTGTAAAACTGTGTGTTTGCCCCTGTGATAAGGAGTGGGCAAAGGTGGAAAAATTGCTATCAGGCCATTTTTCTTTTCGAAAATGTGCTAAATTCAGTAGAAATGTGTCCAGTGTTTTTAGAAAAGAGTTTTTTCTGAGCACATCAATAGTAATTATGTTCATAGTTCAGCAGGACTAGTTCACAGGGTTCGTAGATGAGTTATGTGTGTTCAATGCACCTCAAATATCAGTTTTTGTGCATAAACAATTCAGAAAAACTATAAGATGCTAACCACATGATTCCTTTTTCCATCTACTAACTTGTTTTACTTTAAATCAGCATCATTAGAAGGTTTTTCAGCCTAAACAACTCAATCATGTCAAAATGTCCGAAATGCAGAAGTCATGTTGAAATTAAGTTTTAAGTCTTTAGCTCTCTATATAATTAATCATTCAGAAGTATAGAAACGGGTCTGTACCCAATGTCACCTGGGAGTGTGTGACAAAATAAAAATAAAAAACAACAAAAAACAAAACAAAAACAAATGAAAAATCGTTGAACTTAGATTTGCTTTCAGTCACTGTAACATTTCATTGTGCAATCAATGTTAATGACACAAGGTTTTAATGCTTTTAAACCACTATTTAGGACTGAAGCAGCTGATAGTTTGCACTGAAAAGGCTATTTTACACTGTTTGCCGTCCGTTACCCATTTGTGGGCCTATTAGGCTTAAGAATCCAGTATGTTTTAGCAGAGGTTAAGGTTCAACTGGTTTCCTTGTTTTCCACTCTTTTTCTATTCCTTTTCTTTAAGTATTTAATCAATACCGGTTGTATTCGATTTTCCTAGTGTATTGGTTGGATTGTTTCTGGTAGCTGGTCTTAATTTCCTGTCAAAATGAGTCAGACTGAGAAAAAACAGTTTTAACTTTTTTTCCAAATGGAAACTGATCTAAACCATTTAGCATATGCTGCACTAATCTTCACTTTTTACTGCATTACAAGGAACAAAGTTTCTTTACCTTCCGTAAAAACAGCAGAGGTAAAACCAAACTTCTGGGAACTCCAAAGCATTGTGCACACATGATAAAGAGACATGCAGCGTGATTGAGCAGATTTGTGTTTATAAGAGCAAGGGAAATAATCATAGCCACGAAATAGATCAGCACAGCTCCAAGTATAGCTGTGATGATCATGAAAGCTTTCCTCTTCGATCGATCAGCTCTCTCCCTTTTCCTGCCCCCTTTACCTGGTCCTGGTTGAATCAGAGCATAAAGAACAGAGAGGCTGCAGTAAGCAATGCTTATTACAGAGTAACTCATCAAGCAGAAATATGCAGTATAAGGTACAGCAGCGTAAAAAAGAATTATTAGTACGTACCATCCCAAGCAAAAAAGCCAAACACAGATGATAAGAGCATTTCTGATCCTGATCCCACCAGACTGCTTTAATCTCTGATAGGTGATGGGATGAACAACAGCTAGATACTGATCCAAACATGTCAAGATGTGAAGATTGAATTCTCCAGGATAAAGAATAGTCATTCCATAACTCCCAGCATGATAAAGGTTTGTAAAACCACTGTAACGACCACAGAAGTATATGATAGTTGACAATCCAGAAAGGAGCTGCAAGGCAGCAAAATTGTAAGTGAAAATATCAGAGTTGCTCGCCTTGGAGGAAGTCCGCCATTGCTGGTAACCGAAGTACAGTATGAAGATGGAGAGAGGTACAAAGACAGAAGACTTGGAGATTGTGAGGGCATCATAGAATAATACTTCATTTATAGAAGTAACACAGAAGGTTTTGTTGGAGGATGAAGAGTTCTCTGTCATTTTCATATATTACGTCTTTGGGCTTAAAGGAGAAAAATAAGAAAAGAATAAGAAAAGTGAGATGGCAGAATATTTAGAATGTTTAGGTAAAAAACAAATCACATCCCTGGTAGGCTTAGCCTAGAAGTCATCATTTAACATGCTTGTTTTGACCAAAAGGTACATCATTATTTCCAGCAGCCAATTACAGTAAGGGAGATATTATTTTAAGGCTGCTAATAATGATGAAAGACATTTCTACTTTAAAGACTGTACCTCATAAAAAGAAATAGGAATTACTGAAAAAGGCACTGAAAACATAAAAAAAATGGTATGGATCAAAACTGGTTGGCCAAGCCTGTTAGGAGATTATCCTCTTTTTTATAAAACAGATGAATGCATAATTTATTTTAAATGACTGACCTCCTGTTTTTTTTTTTTTTACCAAAGATAAAACATAACAAACATTTACAATGTAATGACATTTACCAGTGAAAAAAAAATATTTTTTTTTACAATTACCTTTACTTCAAGTCAGAAAGATTTATAAACCAGTAAATAAACCGTAGCAGGGAAGAAAAGAAAAGAACCCAACCTGATATCTTGTGCAGCTTCAACTAAATTGCTTTTAACTAGAACTGATACAAAGCTATTAGTGTTTTTGCATAAATCTAAATCCTGCTGCAGCAGTCGATTAGAGAGTTTGCAAATTATTTTATTTAACTTCATAGCAAATTGCATCTTTTCTATGTAGGATACTATTATTATTGACTACAATATCGAGGCTTCTGATGACATATTGTACTACACATATTTTTACCATTTTGTTTGTGTTTGATCCAGTCTTTTCTTTATCTCGGTAAATATCTGCATACTTGAAATCCATCTGATTTTAATCTTTCATCATATATTTTGCAATCCTTCAACCACAGTTGGAACTCAGAACATGAGTTGTGTTTGTTTACAGGTCATTTGAATTATGTCAAACCATGTGGACTTTCAAGGTGAGCCATAGCCTCTTTTGTGGAGATATGTAAAACAACTGTAAGCGTTTGGAAGATTTTTAACTTTTTGAAATTTATAAACTTTATATATAACTTTATAGCACAAGTTTATATATTATTAGAACATATACTATAGGATTATAAAATCCATTTTCATTTTCTAGTTTGTAGCTTCTTATTTATCAGAGATATTGAGCTTATAATGATCTGCGTAGCTGTTTAAATACAAATTGGCGAAAGGAGGAT